AAAATGAGTCGCCAAGAAAACTCTTTATTGAATAGCGCCTGATTATCTTTGGGAAATATTGTAGAAATGACTGCTGAAAAACTGGGAAACATTGAAGCCTGATCCCCTCTAATGAGAGAATTAAAATTGAGGGGAGAGGAGAGAGGAAAATGGTGAACTGTGGCAGATGTTGACAGAAAACCCAGCTCACAGAAGAGAAATGGGAGCACAGGAGGTAGAATGACAAATGACAAACACTATACTGAATGAAAGCGTTTGGAGCTTCAGTAAAATTATTTTCACTTTTTTAATTTTGATTTTTACTGGGTTTTAATATTTTGATGAAGGAAAACAACTTATTTTAACTGGAGTGCCCTCCCATGGGAAAGTTAAAGGATCTGCCCTAACAAAATCATAGAATCATAGAATGGTTAGAGTTGGAAGGGACCTTAAAGATCATCAAGTTCCAACCCCCCTGCCATGGGCAGGGACATCTCCCACTAGACCTTCTGATACACTTCTGAGCATCCTGATCACTCTCCAGCAGAGAGTTATTTATTACCTTCTTTTAAATGATTAAACACAAGTTGATAGAATGGTTTGGGTTGGAAGGGAGCTTTAAAGATCCCTTAGTTCAACCCCCCTGCCAAAGGCATGGACATCTTTCACTAGATGAGGTTGCAGCCCCATGCAACCTGACCTTGAACACTTCCAGGGACGGGGCAGCCATCGCTTCTCTGGGCAACCTGTTCCTGTACCTCACCACCCTCACTGTGAAAAATTTGTTTCTTTTGTCCAATCTAAACATCATGTCTTTATGTTGTCCGTTCGGTCACAGTTAAGATGAACAAAGTCCACATCCACTGTTGGTTCATCTCCTGTATTGTTACTTCACTAACTTCAATAAAAGTTCACAGGGTGCAAATCAATGCTGAGTTTTGGCCCAACACCTCTAAAAACGGAATGGCTGCTGCAAAGTCGTGTAACCAGAGCAGCCAGCCACTGGCTGACAAAGGCTGGCAGCTTTATTACCGATGTCGTTCTTAACAGTGACACGCATAGCCCGAGATACCATGCTAAAAATACAGACCAGATTATCAGCCTGAGTACATGCCACAGACATTTTTCTGCCACAGCGTGTAGGAAGAAAAATGTCTGTGCATGCACATTGCTGAGCTGTCCCTACGCCTGAGATTGTTTTCACCTGAACAGGGAAGCTAAACAAAACATTCAGTTTTGAATTCGAGAAGCGCTGGGTCTGAAAAGAACCCCAGTTTTACTTCAGCTTGTGTCCCTGTACATATAATATCCTGCACGATTCAGACTGTATCCTGAGTCTTCCCTAAGAGAATAGCGAGGGGTTTTTTTAATATGTCCACGGAAATGTTTGTCCAGATATTTTTGTTTGCATTTTTACTTCAAAATGTGTAGTACCAGTGTACGATTCTCCTTTAAATCCCTCATTAAATCCTATATATGCCAGAATACTGTATTTGCAAGTGATTAATATTTTTCCTTAAATTGTTCTTGCAACATTTATATCTCATAAAGTCTTGACCTTTACGTGTAAGGTACATCCTGGGTTTTTCACAGCTGTAAATCACAAACAGCAGATAATCACCTGCTGCTCACCATACTCTTTGAGTTCAACACAAGTTCCATGGTCACAGGAATGAGACTATTTCCTTGTCCTTAATTAGCTGCCCCCTCCCAAAAGTGTAATTCATCCCCTTACAATCATCTGCCCCTATAAACCGGCTTGGGAACAAAATCGGAGGGTGAGGGCAAGAAGAAATGTCACGAGGAGCTTTCCTGAGAGCTCGGGGAAGCGGGATGGCGTGATAGAGCTGACAAGATGGGATGGAGTGACGGAGGTTATGACTTGGCTCCATCAAGAAGCATCCTCACAAGCTGTGCCATTGGGCAGTGATAGCAGTGGTGGCCTCATTGTCTTACCACTGCCGGCTTCAAGGCAAAAAAACCACTAGAATGGTACAAAATGTTTTAGCATGGCCAGGCCAGGCCTGCATCTGACCCCAGCTACCTTCACTGGGCCTGGCTATGGCTCCCTGGCTGGGGTGGTGGGACAGGGTGGGCTGCAAGATCCTGCCCTGATGGGCCTTGGGGGGCCCTTGCCGCCCTCAGGGAGCACCTGGCCTGTGCAGTACCCTAGCACAGCTTCAACATTGCTGAGAGTAGTTAATAAATGGTTGATTAAAAAAAAGTCTGTTGTTAAAGGGACTGAACCTATGGGTGGAGAGGAAGGCAACGTGACCACCCATTGACCTTTGTTTCTCTTCCCTGCAGCTCCTGTCCATTAAATAGGAAGACTTGTCACTGTCTTCTAAACATACCTATTTTGGATCTGGTATACAGATAAAATAATCAAGTAAGACCAAGCTGGGATGTCCCCCAGCCTCATCATCCTCCCGTGGCCTCCTGCCCCACTTCCCCAGGTCCTCCTGGATGCTCCCTTGGAGAACCACAGCAGGACCAAGTGCCACCTCCTCCACTCCCACATTTTCCATCTCCTTCACTGAAAGTTACATTCGAGTGTTCAACTCCCTCTTTATTCACATAATGACACCTTTGAGATCTTCCAGAGATCCATTTTCATGAGCTGGTCTCTCCTTACATGTAAGAATCCGAGGTGAGAAAACAGGAATATTTATAAACTGAAAATAAAAGTGCTCAGATTCAATATATTCCAGATTGCCAGTCCAGATAATTAATAGTTGCATTGTTTAGGTTTTTTTATCAGGTAACATTTAAATGTCTCAGAAACCAGGCTTCCATTTATCTTACTGACAGAAACATCGCTGATATCCATCCTAAATATTCCTAATTTTCTTCACGTTACTTTTACTTAAGAGCTGCTTTACGCTGCCCTTCATGGGCTCTGCAGTCAGAAGGAGCTGCTACAGCCAGCATTCCTGACACCCTGCAGAGGGGTACCGCAGACTCCTCCCCAGAAAATGGATCAAACCACGTCTTTTAGAAGTAGCCTCAATTCCATTTTAACAACATCAAGCAGTAGCCAGTTTGCCACTTCCCTAATATGCTGTGTCAAAGTTTACTTACCTTCACTCCTGGGAAGTTGCACCTTTTTTTTAAAGTATGATTTGTCTTATACCAGATACTAGATCTCATATGCTTTCCCCCAGCTTAAAAAGATGTAGCCACGAGACTTCCTGCTCTGTTCAAGAGCATACCCGTGGCCATCGTGTCTCTTGCCAATTTCTCTTTGAGAACCTGCACGTTCCTGAGGTCTTTCCAACCTCATCAAGCTTGTTCTCCGGTCTCAGAACAGCTTTATGGCGTTCATTTGAATTATCCTTGTGTCTCTACAACTTTCTAAAAGTATAAACATCAGGCCTGGAAGCAGTAATCAGACAGTATTATGGTTTTACTTCGCTATTTCTAAGTCATTAACCTATTTTCTGTATCTAACAGGAACTCTTCCTACAACTTCATAAAACCCTCACTGTGAAGTAGCTGTTCATGATGCTTCAAAAATTCCTCTCAATTTACCATTTTTCAAGAACTGAGATTCTGTTTTTTAACATTTTTAAAGGTTTTTTTTTCTGTTTTCCAAATCTCACTCCCAAGGTAACAAGACAGCAGAACAGCTAACAACAACGTTCATTTGTGCTTTTACTGAACAATACCAACGGTGTGTTTTAAGTGAAAATTGTCCTGCATAAATTGAAGGATATTACATCAACATCTCACATGTAAACCCATAAATATTAAAAAAAAAATTAGCCCCCTAACACTTCCACCAAACAATGTTCAAATGGAATTCAGTACATTTTTTTTGTCTTTCATTCTTTGCTGATAAAATCTTAAGTTCACCTGGTTCACTGTTTGCTAGGGCTTATACTAGGTGACCGGTCTTCAATTGTGTTATCACCTTTGCTCTTTTAAAGTTTGAAATTACTTTGGCACACCCTTCATCCTTTGGAATTCTGTTTTCCAAACTTTAATTAAAAGTACTATTTGTGGTTCAAAGATTTGAATCTCCACTACTAAAGGCATGCCTAACTCCCTAGCTCAGGTCACACACAGTAATGTAAAGGCCACTGTTCAGCGTTAGCTCTCTTTCAAGTAGGTTGTCTACAGCCACACTACAGAGCACTTTGTCATGGGTCACCACTGATTCTTAGGTTATTGTCAATTTTTGTACTTCTCTTAATTCAAAGTATATTCAAATTATGAGGGCTTTCAGGTTTCTATAGCATGAAAAAGTAGGAGTATTTGAAGGTGAGAAGTGTTGGTGAAGAATGGAAGGACCCAACTTGGTGCAGCCGGCTGGAGTAAAGAGTGCCCACAACAGCGTTCAAGTCCATCTCAGAAGGAACTTGTTGATTGACTCAAAAAATAAGCCTAGGATTGAACCAACCAGTATTTTCTCAGCTGGAGACCAGCAGGTGGGAGAGAACAGTAGCTGACACATACAGGTTGCCCAGAGAAGCTGTGGATGCCCCATCCCTGGAGATGTTCAAGGCCAGGCTGGATGGGGCTTTGAGCAACCTGCTCTAGTGGGAGGTGTCCCTGCCCATGGCAGGGGGCTTGGAACTCGATGATCTTGAAGGTCCCTTTCAACCTGAACCATTCTATGATTCTATGAAAGATACACACTTCTCATGGATATAGAGCTATTCGGTCAAGTGTCTTGGCCTGTTCATAATCCAGGTATTTTTAAATTTTTTTTTGTTAACAGATTTCCTTGTTTAATGTAATTGCCTCAGAAACAAAAACTCTGATATTAAGATAGAGACTTCAGGACAATATGATTTGCCCTTTTGTTCTAATACCCTACAATCTCCTGTAGAGTTATTTTCTTACTTAAGTTTCTATTTCTAAAATGTAATTATATAATTAGAACTGCCAGCGAACCTGAAAGTTACTTAGAACGCCACGCTCTCTGCAGGACTGGATTCATGATTGTGCTTAAGCTCTCACAGCTATGCTCTGTGTGACACTGAAGATACTTGGTGTAAGAATGAGAAACTCCCAAGTGGTTGGCAGGACTGCATTTTATTCACAATCACTCAAAAGGAATGGGAATAAACAGTCAGCTCCTGCCATAGCTCACCACTGGCACTGCAGTCTTTGCCAGGCCATGTGCTGCTTGATATATTCATAATTAACCTCAAAAAAAGGGACAGAGCAACAAAGTTTGCCAATGATAAAGTCAGTGCAGTAAGTTAGGGTAGTAGTTTGGATAGTAAAACTACTGGAAAACTGTAGAAATGCAGAAAAGACAAGATGATTGGGAAATAAAGTGGCAGACACAATTCAGCATAGATGTATAAAAAATTATACACATGGAGATAAACAACCATAGTTTCACATATGAAACAATAGCCTCAGAGCTCATCATGACCAGTCAAGAGTGAGAGCCTGTAGTTAGGATAGATAATGCCATGAAAACAGCTAAGTGCTCAGTTCAAATTAAAAGAAGCAAATCAAGTATTAGGAATTACTAAGAAAGGGATAAAGAACGAGAAAGCAAACAAACAGGCCAGCACTTAACTACACAGCTAATGCTGCGTGCAGTTTTGGTTCCAGAAAATAATGAGACCCAGAAGAGTTTCAAAGGACAATACAGAAGCTATTCTATGCCTTTAGGCAGCCAAGGAATACGTTAGCTAACACATTTCAGTTCAGAAAAGAGGAAATTTAAAGGTGAATATGTTATACATCTGCAGAATCATGACTGGCACAAGCATGATCGGTAAAGGTTTCCCGCACAGGGAACATGAAATTAAGCCAGTAAAAATCAGGTTTAAGATAAAAAAGAATTGGCAATTCTTTATGCAACAAGCATCGATAAAAGCTGTTGTTATTCAGGAAGTATATATAGTCCAAGGGAAACTGGACAAGTACTGGAAAAAGCAGCATCAGGGATTACTAAATAGACAAACCATATGATATTCAGGAAAGCCTGGAATAGAAGACACTTAGAAGCTGGGAGAACACAGAAGGAAAAGAACCAAATGTGCTTGCATTGTTCTTATCCTTCCTCAGGCATCTGCTTTTGACTACAAAAGAGGCTATTGTGTTAGAAAAACCTGTGGTCAGGACCTGTAAAGCTATTCCTATGTTTATCTTTTCAAGAGCATGTAAGTAAGGAGCCGAGAGGAAAAGCACGTGCTGTTTGCTTGGCTTCTTACAGTTACAGGTAGCAGAAGATGGCACGTTAAAAATGCTGTCAAGGCCTCTCAGCCATCAAAGCCAAGCCTGAGCACTCATGTTCACATAGCAGGGATGCTACTAAAGTGGCAGATTTTTATTTTACAGCACAGAAAAATTTCCAGTGTGCAATTTCCTACTAGAGGGATTTTATTTTAATTTTTTTTTTCTTACCAGGAAGAAGAAAAAAAAAACCCTATTTCTTGTATTTGAAATCAAAAGCAATCAGGAGTTCTGTTACACCAATTCCTAAGCACATCTGTTTCATCCAGTATTTTGAAAGAAACTTTGCCAAGTACGCTGAGGAAAAGCAGATAGATTTTCTAGGTAACCATAGATCTGCCAGTTTTAAGAAATATCTCTTCTCTGCTTTCAGCCAAAACATGCTAAATATACAACCTTATGAGGTTTGCATTTCATTTTGTAAGTATGAACTATTAAGTATAATAAATGTTACCATTTAGTTCCATGTAATAATGAAAATGATGCATTTTTAGCTTTATATCCGTCAAATCAGGTTTTTGAATGTCAAAAACATGACCTGCTTTTATAATTCTGTATGACAAATGTCTAAGTGCATAAAACCAGCAAGTTTATTGATGGTAAAATGTTAGGTGCAACTTATTGGATGAATTGAGAATTATATACAAATTGTTCTCATATTGCATTTGCAAGCATTTCAAGGACATAAAACTCAGATTTAAATGTGTCTCCTGAAAACAGCAAGAGTGCTCTCCAGTCTTTTCTCATTTTTGACACGTAGCACTGAGTCTAGATAAAATTAAGTAAAAGAGCTAATTGCTAATTTGGGTTGATCTGACCTGGTCTTTTCTTAATGTTTTACTGAATTTTCAGATTTCCTAGGATAAATTTCATTGTGGATATCTTTTCATACTGGGGGTATCTTAATATTTTCAAAAAACATTACATCTAGTATTCAAGAGTTAAAAATCTGAAGTTACAACACCAATTTACAAAGGATTTTAAGGGTTCAGGAGCGAGCGAAATGGTATCACTTAGAAGTCCCCCAGCTTACTGGTTATTTATTCTGGTTATCCAGAAGTTTTCACAACATCCTCCTGGAATGTTTTTTTGGCCAGGCCAACTGGAAATACTGGTAAGTGATTCAGTGTAATATAAATATTTTTCTATTCTCTCTACCAGCAATATGAAGTATTTAGCCTCCTTGATCACTTTTTCTAGAGCTATGACCTACAGTGCATGCAATGTAAACTCTTAAAGTAGAAAGAACTTTTTTTCCCTCTGCACAAATATAACATTTGGCTTAACTAGGATTCCAGGTTTGTTTCCAAATGTGCTCCACCCTATTAACTTGGGAGGTTATTTTAGGTCCCATTAGCACTACACCTTGAAACCATGCTAACAAAAAAATAAAAAAGCTTAAACAGCAACAGATGAAGAACACACAAGAAACCATTTTCTTATGAAGGAGAGTTCCTGGATGCAAGGATATTTACTGAAAAGTAACATGATAAACAGTTTACTGTATATATGGTAAACACTTGTTTTGGCATCAGTGAAGATTCCTAGTGCTGAATGAGAAGACAATCCTATACCAAATGACTGTTTCATACTCATTGACTCCCATCAACCAAATCTGATGCTTCTCATACATGCTTTGACTAGGCAGAAACCATATAGTCTTTGTATTTTTAGGTCTAACAGTCAGAATAAATGCAAAAAATGTAGCATCTGAATTAAGTAAAATATTCCATGTAATCTAGAATTTAAATTTACATACATTTTTGCATGGATAACTGAAGTTCCTTTGCTATCCAAGTTAAAAAAAACACCTTTTCCAGCAATTTGAATCAAAAAGACAATTCATTACCTACATTATCAAAAGTGCTTTATTTCTTACTTTCAGATTGAGACTTAAGCCTCTAATTAAAATAAAATCAGGCTGGGCTTCATTCACATCTGATCCACAACGCAAAACTAAAATTGTACATCTAGTTTTTCATCAATGCAAAAGATAAAAACCAGGATATATTAGCACTTCTAAAGGATGCATTAACAAACTATACTCACTGTAACAGTATTTGTTGCTACACACTAGTAAGTTCAGCATGTGTGCAGTACCTCATATAGTTTAAAAAATACTGGATGCCAAAGAAGAGCAATTGCACTACATTCACACATAGTTCACAAAAATAATAAGTCATGAGCTTATTGGTGAACTATTTAAAAACTTTTCAAAGCTATTATAGACATGATCCTTTTCCAGAACATTACAGAAATACTCTGAAACCTTTACATGCACACTTATTTTTCTGAATAGTGGCAATCTTTAAAGTCTCTGTTAACTTTTAACTTGGCATTCTTCTCACACAGAAGTCATCTCCCATGTCAGCCTGTCATATTTTCAGCGGCCTAGAAACAGAAAAAACAACATTTATTGCAAGTCACTAGAAGCAGACACCATATAGATTAAATTGAATCTTTTCATGTAACTGTTTTAATTTACCTAAAGAACTTAAAAGTCTAGAAATAAGCTATTTATGAAAATTATATGATGTGTAGTGTTGCTCTCTAAGGAATACTTCCATTTTAAAAAAAATTAGTAGTCAGCTGCCATAAGCCATTATTAACATCGCCATTTCGATGTGCTTGTGTTAAATTGTATATCCTGTATCTAAGCAGCTTGCACACTGTATATTTTACCCTAATGCTTTGAAGAACTGCTCAAATGCTTTTTTTTTTTTTTTCATTTGGGGTTTACGACTTCATACAGTCTATAGTACTATTACTCCCCTCATACAGATAAATTATTGACCAAAACTCTGAAGACACTAATCATAACTGCATAATCATACTGAAAATTATTTGATCACAGTCATCACCAAGCATTTTTATTACTGAATAAACTGAACCCAAACAACAAGGTACAGTTGTTGGAGACTGATATTGGTAAATTTTAAGCCACCTATGGGACAAGTTAGCAAGGGATAGCAATGGGAATGATACACCAGTAAAAACAAAGGAAGAAGTAAACCAGCCCTCACTTACTTATATACACACATAGTTAAATATATGTGTATGCACACATTTAAGCATGTACACAAACATAAAGTATGCATGAGTATAAAAAAATGTTGAGTTTTATTTAGGTAGACAGTTTAGAATAAAAATCCTTCAAAAGGCAAGTGAGTATTTGTTTTAAATCATAGTTGCCTTCTCTACTAGCTAATTAGGTAAATGCTAAATTATGAAAAGCCCTATATATACATGCCCACCATGAAATCCCCTCGTTTGTCTTTGGGGAGAGTGGTAAAAGCAGTACGTGAAGATTACATTAACAAGTTGCATGTACCTGTTTACAAATACTGCTCCATACTATCAGGTCTGAGCTTGCAGAAACAAGGTGATGCCAGTTAAAGGAGAAAGTAGCAATCTATTTGTGATATGATGCAGATAAGGGAACAAATGGTGGCTACAAATGCCCAGAATAAAAATCTGTGGATTTTTTTTTCCTTCAAAAGAATTAATCTAATTATTTCTGAAAACATTTTATTCCTACCATTTCTTGCTCCATGTTACATTCAGTTGCATTCATTGTCTTTTTTATGGAACAGTCAGTTTCCTCGATTTAAAAGTGAGCAGTATCTTAAAAGTAAAATTTACAAATTGAAGTAGAGCAAGCTGGACATAGATCTGACTCTTAAAAACAAATGTATATGCTTTTTAAAGAAAAAAACATTACCTTCAGAGCTTCTGTAGCCTTACGTAGTTCTTTAATAACAGACGATAATGCTTCTGGATTTATCCCCTGTTCACAAAGTCGCACACAAATAGACAATGTCTCCATATCCAAGCCAGTGTTTAATATTCTTGAAATCTCAAACAGAACTGCAACAGAAAAAATGAAAGCACTTTAGTCCCTATAGACTATGAAACTTCAATGATCAAAAACGTTATTCATCAACATTTAATTTCTACAGTAGAGTCTGTGAACATTGCAGTTGTGGAAAGCTCCCAGTCTGAACTTCAGCAACAGCATTCATGTTCAGCTTCCCAGCATAAGCTAGAAGCCACAGCTTCTAACATAAACACCACGCTTTTCTGGTTCAGCAAAGTTAGTACTGGATAATGGGTTTTGAAAAAGTGAATTATTCAATAATTAACATGCTTCCCAATTATGTAAAAGGTAGGCTATAAGAATAATGGGCTTCTGAACACCAGATACTGACAAAGTCCCACTAAAATGGACCAGAAGCACATTCTTAAAGCTTTTACAGAGAACATCAGGAGTTTTATAGTCACCTCCTTTCATAGCTAAACCTGGCTTTAGATCCAACACTAACTCTGGTTTAAGGATAAGCAATACTATGAATTTTATATGACCTGAATCAAGAGCAGCGCAACATGTCAGTATGAAACCTTTTGGAGAAGGAGATTCTAGTCAGCTTTGTGCAGAAACAAAGATCACACTCTCTCTGTTTCTAAACCTTCCCTGAAAAGCCTCTGCCGCCCCCCCCCCCCCCCCTTTTTTTTTTTATTCTTTCTTCTCTTAAAGAGTTTATGTATGTAACAGAACAACTTACTGAGATTTTATTTCTCATTGCTACAGTAATCTCCATCCCGAGGCTAAGCCCCTAGCGACACGGGTTGATTTTATACAGATGTCATTCACACTGTTCCTGTAATCAAACCTCCATCAAGCTGCAAGAAAGTGAATGTCTTTCTCACCATGTAAAAGCAGCATGGCAAGTGACTACTGTCCACTTGACAGCTATGAAAATATTCTCCTTTGGTCTACCGAAGACATACTGCAGCACACCCTAGAGACAGTGCTTACCCAGGCCAAGACATTCCACTGAATTTTTAGAGTTGGAAGGGACCATAGAGATCATCTAGTCCAACTCCCCTGCTGAAGCATACATTAAAGGCCTAAAGTATCCAGTCAATTCCACTGAAGTCACGGGGAAGCCTCAGATGCTAGGAAAAGAATCTCTAGGTGTGATAATAACCTTGAAGCCCACACACATCATTTGGATTAAGAATAAGCACAAGTATAAGACCTGAAGGCAGCTTGTGAGACCAAAGCCCTAGCTACAAACCACAAAGGGGTTTTCCTTCTCCACAACAAGGCTTTCTGTCCCCGCTGGCTTGAAAGGAAACTGTTCCAAACGCATTACATGTGCACACCCTGCCCACATGAAAGCGTCTCCAACAAGCCAGTTAAAGCAACAACAAATTGACATACTTGCAATAAAATGCAATTGAACATGAGGAGCTACAGAACTAAGACTGACAACGTCCCAGAAATAAGTAATTCTTACGTTCTTTAACCATTTAAAGCTTATCATAAAATTTACTAATCATGTTATGTACTTGAAGGCAGAGCAGTAAATCTAATTAAAAAGTACTTCCAATTTCCTATGTCAAAAAGAGTTGTGGTCACTAGTTTCTAATAGAAAATGCCTCTAGGTGTTGAAGCAACATCTTTGGCGGAGAAATGTAGCAGTTTCTCCACAAAATATCTGAGCTCTTAACGATTCTGCAGAGAAAAGCTGCTAAATATTTATATCTAGCATTCTAGATTAAAATTTTACTTGTCTAAGCTACTAAAGACATTAAAGAATAACTTTTTTAATACTAAGCCATTTACTTCCCTTAGGTGCTTATTTTTTATGCTGTAAGTTAAGATGTAACAGATTTCAAGTTCTATTTCAAAAGGTCTACAAAAATTATTCTACAAATATTTTTTCTACTCATTATGATGAGCCCTCATCAAAAAACCCCAAATTACATGGACATAGCTATCATAGTGCTTGACTTTTTCAGTTACTTCACCAAAGCATTTTAAATAAATATTCATATAATGGAAATTTCAAAAGATTAATGCTATTTTGAACAGTGAAAGAGCCCAAAACAATTTATTTATTGAGTGCAGTAAAAGTTCAAACACAAGAGTATTTTTAAGACTCTTTAAGTAAATTTTTAAATATCAACTGTATTTTTACCTTAATGGAAAATTGCTTTCTTCCAAAAACACCTGACCCCAGGAAGAGATTAAATTATGAATGTCCACCACAAAGAAAATATACACATTGTTACACAGGAAACCTCGGCTCCTAAATCTGAAGGCTAGTACACTTTCCATAGCCTAGTTCTCAAAAGCCTTATTTTGTCTTTAATTCTATACATCATCCCTCTCATCCAGAAGACTCCTGCAGAAATGGAGAGAGGCATCAAGTGCAGTTACAAGAACTTAGCATAACTGTCTTTCCCAAACAAATCTCTCTGCAGCTACACAGAATGCTCTTATCCTCTTGGAGCACCAGAGCAACCATAATAATCTTGCTAGTCCTGCCTTGCCTCCAGCAACAGGTCACAGTGGGTAGATCAGTGGCTGAAACACTAATTTTTACACTATTTCAACTCATGAAGGTCTTTGCCAAGGAATCCCTATGTAACAGTCACCATAACTATAATAGAAGGGAAAATTGTGAGAAAAGAATAAACCCAAAGCAATAGCCCCCTGAACACTCTCCCTAGCCTCTAGTTCCTCATTGGGGCATTTCCAGAGAGAGTCTTCATATTTAACAACCCTCAGGGGATTTCCTGGTAGCTTTCCACTCCGCCTGAAATCCGCATCAGTTTTTGGCATAGCCATTCCATGGAATTCCAGAGTATCACACTACAAACTGCTCAGAAACACCTCCTGAAGCTGCCAGCTTTGATTTCTCATAAATTCATATCCTCAGATTCAGGCTGAGAGATCTTTACTCACCCTGCTTACACTTCTCATGGCTTATAAATCTCTGAAATATTTTCCACTACTCCCAGTGTCACTTCTCTCACATTGCCTACCCCCCAAAAAAGCACTTTTTTTTTTTTAATCAGAAACTATTCTAATTCTGTAACACTGACAGTCCTTCTCAAAACTTTTTCACTGTGATTTCTTTTTTTAATGGCAATTTACTTTTGTTTTCTGACATGAGCTGTCCACAGGAACAATACATTGGGGTTAAGATTAATTGAGGTGCTGCCAGTTACAGTACCACTGGGTTTGTCCTCCCTGTCCCTTCCATGCACCTCGTTCACCCCAGTTTAAATCCAAGATGCATAGGGCCAGGAAACATTAACTTGTATTAACCATTTCCAATAACAAGAAAGAATAGCAAGTGTATATATTTATAGACATAAAAAATGATGTTATTTGAAATTAAATCACAGAAACATCTAGAGGCCTTTCAGATCATCAAGTCCAACCATCAGCCTAACACTGACAAAACCACAACTAAACCATGTCCCTAAGCACTATGCCTCCCCATCTTTTAAATAATGCCAGGGGTGGTGATTCTATCACTTCCCTGAGCAGCCTGTTCCAATGCTTGATAACCTTTTCAGTGTCGAAATTTTTCCTAATATCCAATCTAAACCTTCCCTGGCACAATTTGAAACTATTTCCTTTTGTCCTACTTCTTATTACTTGGGAGGAGAGACTGACCCCCAACCTCGCTACAACCTTCTTTCAGGTAGTTGTAGAGAGTGGTAAGGTCTCCCCTCAGACCCCTTTTCTCCAGTTTCCTCGACCACTCCCCATAAGACTTGTTCCCCAGACCTCTCACCAGCTTCATTGCCATTCTCTGGACATGCTCCAGCACCTCAGTGTCTCTCTTGTAGTGAAGGATACTCAAGGTGGGGCCAGTGCTGAGGACAAGAGGACAATACCTTCTCTACTCCTGCTAACCACACTATTCCTCATACAGGCCAGGATGCTGTTGGTCTTCTTGGCCACCTGGGCACACTGCTGGCTCATGTTCAGCCGACATATTTAAGAGCTAATGAGAAAGCCAGGAAGAATCACACAAGGTCCAAAGACACTAGCACTACATGGGTATTTGAAGTGTTTCAGACATTACACATAATATGAAGTAAAAAGAAACTGCTATAGCACTAAATCTTCAAGCAACTGCAATTTGTAATCATCGCAGAATCATAGATTGGTTTGGGTTGGAAAGGACCTTAAAGATCATGGAGTTCCAATGCCCCTGCTGTAGGCAGGGTCACTTCCCACTAGAGCAGGTTGCTCAAAGCCCCATCCAGCCTGGCCTTGAACACTTCCAGGGATGGGGCATCCACAACTTCTCTGGGCAACCTGTTCCAGTGCCTGACCACTCTCACAGAAAAGAATTTCTTCCTAATATCTAATCTAAATCTCCCCCCTTCCAGTTTAAAACCGTTACTGAATTTCACTGAATTTTTTAGAGTTGGAAGGGACCACAGAGATCATCTAGTCCAACTCCCCTGCTAAAGCAGGACCACCCAGAGCTTGTCAGAGCATGTTACTCAGGACTGCATCCAGGCGGGTCTTGAAAATCTCCAAAGAAGGGGACCCCACAACCTCCCTGGGCAGCCTGTTCCAGGGCTCCGTCACCCTCACTGTGAAAAAGTTCTTCCTCATATTTGAGTGGAACCCTTTATGTTCCAACTTGTGCCCATTGCCCCTTGTCCTCTCACTGGCAACTACTGAAAAGAGTCTGGTTCCCTCCTCCCTCAGCCCACCCTTGAGATACTTGTAGGCATTAATAAGGTCTCCCCTCAGCCTTCTCTTTTTACAGACTAAAGAGTCCCAGCTACCATAAGGTCTCCCCTCAGACCCCTTTTCTCCAGTTTCCTCGACCACTCCCCATAAGACTTGTTCCCCAGACCTCTCACCAGCTTCATTGCCATTCTCTGGACATGCTCCAGCACCTCAGTGTCTCTCTTGTAGTGAAGGATACTCAAGGTGGGGCCAGTGCTGAGGACAAGAGGACAATAACTTCTCTACTCCTGCTAACCACACTATTACTCATACAGGCCAGGATGG